GTAGATGGCATTTGTCAAGAAATGCTTTCACAAATATAAATGCTAAAATTTTTGTCAATGCATTCAAGAGGTGCACATGTGCTCGATGTACCCTGAAAGAATTTGAAAATGAGTGAAAATCAATGGTCGAATCATTTGGACTGGAAACAAACAATTAGATAGCAGAAGTTTATACAAAGCGATTCAAATAGGCTGAAGCGTACTTGCGAGAAAATTTTTTGTTGGCTTAAAAAGCACGCAACGGTCGAAAAGTATGAATATCTACCTGAAACGATTTCTAAAAACAAGCCAACGATTATTCGAGTTTGTTAGGCACTATGACAGGGGCTTGGCAAGGATCAGGGAGTGTGATGCCAATAATGACTTTGAGTCGGAACATTCTAGGCCAGTGATGCTGATAGCACTGAGATGCTTAGAGGAGCATGCTGCTACTCTATATACTAGAAAAATTTTGTTCAAGGTCCGTGATAAGATACAAGAAGAAGATGTATTTTTTGTAGTGGATAAGATCGAGATTGAAAGTCATCAGAATTACTATTTGTCTCGATTCACAAAACCAGTTTCAAGGTGGATTGTGCAATATTATCCTCAAATTCATGCGTTTAAATGGAATTACATGAAATTTTAGTCTTTTGGAATTCCATGCTCTCACATGATTGTGGTCATGAAGTATGAGTACATACAAGAGTTTCCTCATACCAGTGTGATGAATAGATGGGCCATTAAAGCAAAATTTGGGTATAAATGCGCACACAAATGAGGAAATGTGCACACGAATGTGGTAATGTGCAGCCGAATGTGTCAATTCTTACATGTTATGCTGTACTTATGTCAATGTGCAACCAAATGTGTTATTACACTTCACAGTCGCGCTCAGACTCAAATGACCTGAGGAGTATGATGCAACAAAGAACTTTTCTTCTAAAAGCCCGTCATGAGCCACTTGGCAAAAAAAATGCAAATGTGACGAAAACACAATTCAATGTGAATGATCCAAAGATTGTGAAAACCAAGGGAAATCATAGTCATGCACAAAAGAATCCAATCAACCTGCGAAGATGTAGTAAATGCAGGGGCACTGGTCATACTATTAGAAAATGTCCACTCTTGATGTCTCAATCCAATGATCCATTCGAGGACATGCCTTTTTCACAATTAATTGGATCACAGCCACCACAGGACATGCCTTTTTCACAACTTAGTGGATCAGAACAACCACCCCACATGTCTTTTTCACAACATGGTGGATCACAACAATCTATGTCATCATTGAAATAGGATGATCGTTGCATTCCCTTTGTCAACGGGGGTATTCTCAACTATTAGGTTCATATAATACTCTTTGGAGGTTTATATTTTTTTTCATATGAATTCATTCCTTATTATTTTAGAATGGAATGTCAAGCTTTGATTCTACCATTTAATCACAATACATCAACACTAGTTTCAGTAATATGGAAGTAATTACAAAAATTACAAATTTTATCCCACAAATTTTATTTTTTCACCATTATCATCTAACCATCAATTTATGCTATCATAGTGGGCACCAAGATCATGGAGCAAGATGGGTTGATGAAATTTTACTTTTTTTGCAACTTTGAATGAAAATGTTTTACATTCTCCATTCCAAGTTTTTTTTTTCACTTAGATATACCCTTTTTTTTTGGAGAATTTGCGAGATAATTTTATTGATTAAAAATTAAATTACACCTAGCTAGGGGAGACGTATTTACCTTACCCTTGATGCAATCTAATTACAATGTAATAAGGAATTAAAAATTTTAAGGCATGATTTTACATGGAAAAACAAAAAATAATTTCCTAACTGATGAAACCAGCTACTAAAATGTGTTGGAATGTTGAATAGTCACATGAATAGTAGTTAAGAGAGCCAAGATGAGCAATGTGTAGCAATTATTTTGAACTAGGAGATAACTGAGAGACGAGCTGAGGGCAAGACTGAGTTGTGTGACAAGCTAGGAGAGGCTGAGATGTGTGCATGACCGATTTGGAGAGTAAGGGGTCATCTGATAAGGTAGATGAATAGACTGCCTTGGAAATTTAAAGGCTAGACGATAATGAATCTGAAAGGTAGGTGAACAGTTGATAGGGCCCTTCAGCACTTGAACAGATGATAAGATATCAGATAAAGCTTTTGAAGGACATAGGAAACTGAAACGCCAAACGATAAGCTAGCTGCCTTGTTGCTAAAGTGTCTATCAATCAAAAAAAAGACCCTCTGAGAGACAGATGAACTCTTGGGAACCTACATGTCACTCTGAAAGACTATCAGAGAGGCGTCTGAGAACCAAATGGAGAAAAGCCAGATCCAATAATGCAATCTGAACTCTGACGAAGAGCAAAGAAGATGAATTTCCAAGGTTGAAAATAGCCACAAAGCCTTAGTGAGAAGATGAATATCCAGCCATGAAGATTTGAAGGGAGGATGAAGCCTCAACAACACTGATCTGAATATTGTTTTTGCTAATCCTGAGGATTTTATAATGGCATGAACAACTATTCCCTTTTCTTTTGGAGAATGTAGGCCAAATATTAGAGTAGTAGAAGGCATGTAAACTCTGAACTATGTAAATGGACTGTTTTGATTGTTTGAATATGTGAACGAATGTGTTTTTATTCCTGTAGCATATCTCTGATCTGCCTCTGTGAATCCTTGCTATTTGAGGCAAGATTATCATTTTTTTGGGTAATATTACCATTTTTTAGAGATGATTACCACTTTTGAGTGAAAGATTATTATTTGTTTGGTTAACATTACCATTTTTTTTGGGTTAGAATACAACTTCCTTGGGTTTAGAATACAAATTTTTTGGGTGTAACATTATCACTTTTATTTGATAAGAATACCAAGTTTTTGGTAAGATTACCCATTATTTGAGGCAAGATTATCACTTTTTTGGGTAATATTAGAATTTTTTAGGGATGAAAGATTATTACCTTTTTGGTTAACATTACCATTTTTTTGGGGTTAGAATACAACTTTCTTGGGCTTAGAATACAACTTTTTTGGGTGTAAGAATAAAACTTTTTGGGTGTAACATTATCACTTTTATTTGATAAGAATACCACGTTTTTGGTCAGATTACCCATTATTTGAGGCCAAATTATCACTTTTTTGGACAATATTACCATTTTTTAGGGATGATTACCACTTTTGAGGGAAACATTACTACTTTTTTGGTTAACATTACTATTTTTTTTTTTTTTGGGTTAGAATACAACTTTTTTGGGTGTAAGCATACAACTTTTTTGGTGCAACATTATCACTTTTATTTGATAAGAATACCACATTTTTTGTAAGATTACCCATTATTTGAGGCAAGAATATCACTTTTTTGGATAATATTACCATTTTTTAGGGATGATTGCCACTTTTGAAGGAAAGATTACTACTTTTTTTGTTAACATTACCATTTTTTATGTTAGAATCTAACTTGCTTGGGCTTAGAATACAAATTGTTGGGTGTAACATTATCACTTTTATTTTGTAAGAATACCACTTTTAAGATTACCTATTATTTGAGGCAAGATTACTACTTTTTTGGTTAACATTACCATTTTTTGGGTTAGAATACAATTTGCTTGGGCTTAGAATACAACTTTTTTGGGTGTAAGAATACAATTTTTTGGGTGTAACATTATCACTTTTATTTTGTAATAACACCACTGTTTTGGTAAGATTATCCACTATTTGAGGCAAGATTAACACTTTTTTGGTTAACATTACCATTTCTTGGGTTAGAATACAACTTGCTTTGTCTTAGAATACAACTTTTTTAGGTGTATGACTACAACTTTTTGGGTGTAACATTATCATCTTTATTTTGTAAGAATATCACTTTTGTTTAATATGGTTACCATTTATTTAAGGCAAGATTATAACTTTTTAGGGTAAGATTACTATTTTTTAGGGAAGATTACCACTTTTGAGGGAAAGATTACCATTTTTTGGGTTAGAATACAACTTGCTTGGGCTTAGAATACAATTTTTTTGGGTGTAATAATACAACTTTTTTGGTGTATTTTTATAGGTAAAATTACAGTAAGAATTTATAATCTTACTACTAAATTACCACAACCATGCTCATTACAACCATTACCATGCTCATTTTATGTATAAAGAACAAAGATATTTTAGATTTTTGACAAAAATATATCATATTACATTAATTTGTTTCATCACATTTCACTACTGCTAGTTCAACTATTGTATCAACAACCAACAACTACAATTACATATAATTGTTACTTCCTACCTATTTCTTTGTTTTTCATAAAAAAAAACTCAATTCTATCCCACTTACTATCAATTCTATCCAACCTACTATCAATCACCTTCAGAGACTCCTTTATTTCATTTTTGAGTATTTTCAAATTCCTCCATCTTTCTGTGCAATCATACTAGCAAATGTACATATATAGTCAATGGAGGAAGACTAGCTGTGTAAGAATTTGGGACATCCTGGGCTTATCTTCATCCTCGGCTTCAACTTCATTCTCGATTTCAACTTGTGGTTATTGTGGCCACTGAGTTTTCTTTTTCTTCCCTTGCCCCAAACTCTTTTTTATTGTCCCACCATAATTTGGATTCATGGGAGTGGAATAAGCGTCGCTTGAGTGAATCACAACTCCACAATCCTCCATAATCTTTGAAATCAAAATTGGGAATGGGAGACATCATTGCCTATCCTTCATACATTGTACCGAAATAATTTCATCAACTATTAAATAAGGTAGATCTATACATATACCCTTTCCAATGGCATACAGGAGATGAGCTCGATTAAGTCCAAAATCAGCAGCATGTCCTCTTGGACTAATATTTTACCCCACTATAAGGTTTAACATCCTATATTTGGGAGTAAGGTCTTGCTTAAAAAATACTAAATTGTCAACACTTTCACTAAAATTATTAGGTATACCGTCAATTTCTGCATAAACATCTTTCAACTTAGGTATGTCCTTAGAATTCTTGAATGGATAGGTAAGTGTATCGTTAGGAATGAAGGGTTGGCGAACTCCCAATATTTTTGAAACTAAATCTAGGATTACTTCAAAAATTGCATTCCTCACAAGAGAATTAAACTTGTGATTACTTTTATCAATATCGTGCATGTTAGAATAAAATATCTTCACCAATGTATTATATGCTTTATCCGTCTTCTTGATATCAACTGTAGAATTTCATTGATGAAGAGCAAAAATTGCATCACATCCTACATCTTTTAATTGATCTAGTAAAACACCACTCTTCAATAACAAAGGCCTATAATAAAAACAATTATCATACTGATGTTTGCAATTTTTTTTGAAGAAAGATAGGTCTACATTGCATATGAGGTTTAATGAACTTGTTGGATTGGGGTCGAATGAATTTGCTGAATTGGGTATAGGGTTGGATGAACTTGATGCATTGAAGGAGGGATCAATAGTGAGATCAAATGGATTGGTGGAGGTGGGATCAACAGTGGGATCAACTAGATTGGTGGAGGTGAGATCAACTATGGAGGACGAATCAATGGAGGGAGGATGATTATATTTCTTATTCGAAGAGGAACCAATGAAGGGAGGATCATTTTAGCTCTTCTTCTTCTTCATTTTTTCACTGTTATCCACAACTTTTGGCCTATACTTCTTTCTGCCTTCGGTCATTTCTGTAACAAGAAAAAAATCTAGTCTAAAAAGAAAGCAATAACATGGAAGATTATCTATTACTTTTTAGTACGGGTGTCAATTGTGTTGTATCGTATTAGTTTCGTGTCGTGTCACTTTTGACCATGTTATTTTCGTTTCGTATCACTTTCGGTACGTGTCGGGTTCGTGTCAATATTCATATTAATAAAAAATTATTTAATTTGACAACAACTAATATAAAAAATTATAAAATTCTTATTTTTTATCTACAATACTCGTTAAATAATTATTTTTTATCTACAGTATTCATTAATCGTGTTATTCATGTCAAACCTTAATTTAATCCATTTATTACTCGTGTCAACTAATCGTGTTATTTTTGGGTTCGGTTCGAGTCGGGTTCATGTTAACGAAAAAAATTGACACCCCTACTTATAAGCAATAACAATTGATGGAGATGTGCGGAAGATAGAATTGCATTACTTTTGAACCATCATTCACAAAAACCATCATTCGTTCAACCCCAAAAACACATCCCTTAGTTGTGGCAGTGGCTCCGGTGGCAGTGGCAGTGGCGATTGGGTTTGATTCGATTTGGTTGCTGATTTGGGGTTCGAGGCCATTGGGTATGCAATAAATTTGGGTTTTCACCGATTTGGGTATGCAATCAGGTTGGTTTTCACCGATTTGGGGTTAGATGTTGATTTAAGGTATGCAATCACATTGGATCATTGATTTAGGGTTTTGAGGAGTTGTATTTTTGGTTTGGGGGAATAGAAGAAAAAAAAGAAGTTGATCGCTATATAAGAGATCTAATCTGGATCGCTTATGTAGCAATCAAGACAACTCTTAGTGATCTTGTAGCAAACGAATCTCAAGCGGTCAAACAACGATCAAGTTACGATTAGTCTAAAATAAATTTCACTTATACTCCTAAATTATCATTCTTTCTCAATTTTTCTCTCATATTTTTCATATTACACCCTCAACTATGTAATTAGTTTCATTTTACCCCAAAATTTTTTACTTATTTTAATTTAACACAAAAGGTGTACACAAATATGATAACTTTGTTGTAATTTATTTAGGGGTGAAAAATTTTGTTGTAATAATTTTAACTTAACCCAAAACCCCAAAATCAATTTTACCCAAAAAAAATTGTTGATAAATTGTAACATTTTAATACCCAAAAATGTTTGGGAAACTTTAGTTGTAATTTAGCCTAATGGTGAACTTTGATAACTCAATCCTAACCTCCTAATATTTTTAACTTAATCTAGTAAATTTAATGTCACTCAATAACCCAAATATTGTAAATTTTTCATTATATTTTTATTTCAGGTATGATAAATAATTATCATTTTTTTAAATTAATTTTAATTTCTATTATCACTTAAAATAGTGGTGAACTTACTTTGATAACCTAATCGTAACCTTCTAATATTTTTAACTTAATCTAAAATGGTAAATTTAACGTCACTCAATAAGCCCAAATATTGTAAATTTTTTCTTATATTTTTATTTAGGTTTAAATAAGATAAATAATTATTATTTTTTAAAACTAATTTTAATTTTTATTATCACTTATTTTTAAAGTGTATAACGGTTTTCTTATTTTTAAAATATATATCGGTGAAACTGATTATGGGTTTTTTATGAATTTCGGAGTGTATAGGTGGCATTATACAACCATTTTACTTTTTCGGTATCGTAACCAGTTTTACACCAACTCCATTTTCGTGTGGCCAGCCATATGTTTGTTATTTTTATGTGTGGGGCCATTGTCTTTGAATTTAGAGTTGGTCCCACAAATCGAATGAGGTAGTTTGGTAAGAAAGAAAAATATTTTGTGAATAGAATTTTTATTTTTGACTTATCTGTAGCTAATTGGATTGAGGAGGTAGGTTAGTGTCTCTTTGTTAGATAGCCGACACGTGCTCCTGATGTACGACCTTGAGGATGATCACACTCGTCTCTGGGTGAAGCAGGCTTGGTTGGTTTATGGCAGGGAGATGCGCATGTTCAAGTAGACTTCGCAGTTTCGTTGTACCGAGGAGTCACCCATAGTTCCTATATGAGATTCATTCCCATATTTACCAGTTCACTTTGAGCACTCCCAAGATGCATTATTCTCGATAGCCTCGGAAATTGGGATGCCTTTACGGGTTGATCTGGCCACAACGAGTTTGTCTTCAGTTGCCAGGGTGTTGGTTGAGTATGATGTCACATGGCGACGGGTGTCGAGGATTAGGATAGGCAGACAAGAGACCGGATTTTGGCAAGATGTACTTTACAAGGATGTACCGTAGTATTGTATTGGGTGTCGTCATTTAGGCCATTTAGTGGAGACATGCATCACCCACTCCCAGCCCCTGGAGGAGATAAGTGGAGATCGGCCACAACAGGGTCGAGGTGATGGTCAGCAGAGGACTAGACCACAGGAGGGTGCATCCATTCAGAGAGTCCCAGTTCCTCCTAGGAGTACTGAACAAGTTAGAGTATCCTTTGGGGGAGTGACAGATGTTGTTACCTTTGTTCCTCCCCCTAGGGCCATAGTTGCTACTGATGTGGAATCTACTTCAGTAGCTCCTGTCCAGGTTGTTGTTGAGCCGCGTACTATGGGTGAGCCTGTGGTTGTGATCAGTTTAGATACTATCCCTGCTAGTGCTGTGCAGGAGCAGAGTTTGTGCCCCCGATCAGTCAGTTGACACAGTTATTAAGCTAGTCCGTGATGGACTAATGATTACCCTAGCCGTTCGTCCGACTATTTGTGAACTTCGAGGGGTTCAGAGTCCCCCGGTTGTGTGATTTTTTGAGGATACTAGATTGAGGTGTAGAGATAAGGGTGTTGGGATTTCTAGTCGGCCCACTAATTGTGCCACCTCGACTGGAAATTTCTCTTAATCCTAGATTGTATGCTGGGGTTGAGAGCCACTCTACTGAGATATACCATCTGATGAGTCCTTGGGTGATGATGTTGGATCCTTTTCTGACTCGCAGGAGAGCCTTTCTCAGCCTAGAGGAGCTTTAGTGCCTTATGATGCTTCACAGTTTGGTTGTTAGGTCCCGTTGCATAGATCTCACCGTATTGGTAGGGGAGGTCGAGTAGGCAGAGGAGGTAGAGGTGGTAGGCCTGGCCGAGGGACGCTTAATGTGGTTCTTCCACTCCTTTCTGATGATTAGTACGCTCATATGGAACATCATAAGGATTATCCAGGCCTATTCGATTAGAAGGCTCAGGAAGCTGATCCGCTTACACCACTTATCAATGTTCTGTATTTTGGAGCCTTTTGTTGATCGAGATCAGTTGGAGTCTTTTCGAATTTGTTTGCACATGAAGCACACTTTTTGCTCTATTTCGGAGAAAATTTGGATCTCTTGGTCTTCCCTTTTTCGGTTAGAGGTTCTTCAAGACAATAGTCTAGTGGTTTATTGCCAGGTGTGACATTCTTCCTTATCGGATCCAGTTTTGTTTCTTTGTGTATGGCAGTTGCGTAGCTTCTATTCGACAGGGTTTGTGGGATTCCTTGACATAGTTTGGGAGCATTCATGATAGTCTATGGATGGTTGGTGGGGATTTCAACGTTATTGAGTCCCATTCTGAGATCCGGGAGGATCATACACAGTCTCAGTCTGCTATTGATGCCCTTCCCTAGCCTTGTTGTCTAGTGGTTTGGAGGATGCTGGGTTTGAGGGTACTCCATTCACATAGACGAATGGACGTACTTGGAGGAGATTGGATAAAGTAGTGGTGAATGTGCAGTGGAGTTCTTATTTTTTTTTCTCGTTTCAAGTGGCGCACCTGAGCCGAACTTGCTCAGATCATTCACCACTTTTGATTTCTGGAGATCAGCGTCAGAATAGAGGGTCGAGCCGGTTCAAGTTTCTTCACACTTGGACTAGGTACAAATATTTTTTGGAGGTTGTGCGGCAGAGCTGGACCCTTCATGTGTTCGCTTCAGGGATGTCTGCTTTTTAATTGAAGCTTATTCAGTTGAAACAAATTCTGAAGGTTTGGAACAAGGAAGTGTTCGACAATGTGTTTCAGCGAGTTCAAGAGGCTGAGACCGAGGTTAGTAGGAGAGAGGTGGCACATGACTAGTCAGGGTCTCCTTCAGATCGGGCTGCCCTTCATCAGGCCAGGGCTAAGTTATAGCAGGCTTTACAGTGTGAGGAGTCCTTTATGAGATAGCAGTCCCGTGTCTGCTAGCTTCGAGAGGGTGATTCAAACACCCGCTTCTTTCATGCTTCAGTGAGGCAGAAACGACATGTTCTTTCAATCCATCGGATCAAAGGTGATGATGTAGAGTGGATTATTGAGCCTAGGGCTATTGGTGCTTCGATAGTTTCCTTTTTTTAGGGATTGTTCTCTGTGGGATCTGGTCAGGTTGAGGTTACAGATTTTTTAGCTATTCCAACTATTATGACTGATGCAGATGATGTTGGGTTGTGTGTTATGCCGACTTTGGAGAAGGTGAGACAGGTTGTGTTCTCTATTGATTCAGATAGTGTGTCGGGGCCGAATGGGTTTTGTAGTCATTTTTATTAGTTTTGTTGGGATATTGTGGGAGCAGATTTGCTAGCTGCAGTTCAGGATTACTTTCGGGGTTCTCCTATGCCTCGAGGATTCATGAGTACATTGATAGTGCTTTTACCCAAGAAAGAGTCACCTTCTACTTAGGCAGATTTTCGACCGATCAATTTATATAACGTGAGTAACAAGGTGCTGACGAAGATCCTCATTTCTCGTCTGTCGTCCTTGTTGTCACGTATCATACCACCAACGCAGAGTGGGTGTGTGTTGGGCCGAGTGTTGTAGGATAGTGTTCTTTTGGCTCAGGAGTTGGTTCATGATTTGGGGAGAGGTTCCCAGGGTGGGAACGTCATGTTGAAACTTGA